GCCGTATCAGGACTAAAACCTTGAAATTTGCATTTTCCACTCAAAACTGTTTGTTTTGTTCGGGGATGTCTTGGGATGTCTCAACTTTTCATCTGGTGATGACGCAGAAGGATGCACCTCCGCCAGACGCTTAGCAAATCCAAATTTCAAAAAGTTCCAGTAAGTGACGATCGAAATTATTTTCACTGTACCTTGTTGGAACGGCTTGTCTCTTCAAACAAAGAACTGGTTCTGCACTGGTTGTTTATGTTTGTGTTAGTCAAGAGGTTGTATTCACCACCTTGCGTGTCTAAAGCAACAAACTTTCTCCTTGATATTTTGAAGTAGGCTGCTACAGCATTCCCAGACGACTGTGGGGCCAAAAAGCAAAAGAAATGATCTATATTTGTTCTTGCCTTTTGTTTCAATACAGCGGTAGTCTTTCAACAGAAATACTCCAACATATTAGATCATCCAACTGTTGGAAAAAGCGTTTGACCTGCTTTTGTTTGGTTCCCGTATGGTTGTTCAACTTAACATAGCATGTTTTTTTGCAACCCTTGTGCTCCAAACGTGGTCAATCCTCGTGCGTTAACGTGGCCGCGGAGCTAAGTGATCCTAAGTCAGTTATAACTCCCGCTAAGTCTGCAGGAAATCAGCGTGACCTAAGTGGTTATAAGTCTGGTTACAACCTAGATAAACCCAAAAAGCGCCAAAGTACATCACCTCTCGAGGAGGCATGGCGTGTTTTGGGATGGGGGATTGGGCAAGAGCCAAGTTGGCTCAAGTTTCCTCCTGCTTGTGCACTTCCTGGAACCGACATGGTTGCGTGGATGGCATGGCCCCGTAAGGAAGATCAGCCTGTAGGGTCCGACCGACCTCATGTCAAAAAGAACACCTCTGGGTCTCGGACCATTCTGGTCAAATGACAGGATTCACTCGGTGGGGCTTTACTCACCACTTCTACCATGGAGTCTATGCTGCTGTGGAGTGAAAGTTTAATTAACAAGAATGCTAGTATAGCTCCTGGCATTGCTACTAGGAAACAAGAAGCTGCTATAAGTAGCAAGGTGCATCGCTAGTAACCAGGGGCATCGCTGCTCGTAGCTAGATTCCACCTCTCCCAGGCATGTCCAACGACGAGATGGCCCACCTCTCGGTCGTGTTCGCAGGCGACTGCTGACGGATCCAGTCGGGGTCGTGGCGGATCCAACGGGGGTTGGGTCTGAAGCCTATGGACTTTGGATCCTTTCTCAGGACTATCCGACCCAGTTGGACTCGACTAAGTGACTGACACGACTGTTGGATCCTTTCTCAGGTTGAAAACCACCTCTCAGGACCTTCGACGGGGCGAACGCGTGAACGGACTGTGAAGGGGTGAACAGCCCGGTGACAGTGGGGTTTCCCCAAGAAGCAAGAGACGAAACCCATCGATGGGTTGGCTCTTGTGAGGCAAAGCTGGTGCTGGAAGCCACTTTTTGTGGTTCAGACACTTGAAACTGTTGACTCGTCATCCAAAAACAATAAAACAGCATCGGCTTGTGCGTTGGCCTGTTTGTTTGACCCATCCTGTTCCAGGTATGGGACTATTCCTTCATGTTTTTGACATCCAAAAGCAGCATCTTTTTGGGGATGACTTCCACGGGTGCCAAACTGCTGACATTTAGTACCCAACAAACAGCATGGAATTGCCAGCATCTTGAGTCAAGCTCTGAAAACCGGGTAGCAAGAAGTTCATTGGAGAAAGATGGTCATCCGGCCTTTGCTTTCTTGTGGTTTGCTCAACTCAGTCTTCCTAGGTCTCCAACTACCTCCTGAAAAGGTGGTTGGGGTGGGTTTGGGGTTTCTAACCACCTTCTGAGGATATGGGCCAGGAGCCCTAGGGTTTAATATCGTTTATATAATCAGTCTTGCACCAGACCTGGAACATGTCCCACTCACCTCCCTTCACGTCAGGCTTTCACCGTACAACGCAGCTTCTAAGAAGCGTGCAGCATACGAGCCTTGGAGGGGATCGGGTGGTTGGGTGGTTAACAGGGACAATAGACACTGTCAGACATGGTGTATTTATAATACACTGGGGTGGTTGAAAAGGGGTTTTACCGTAAGATTTTATCTATATATATTCCATACATGGAGTGTTTGGGTAATAGCCAACGCAGTTTGTCACGAATTGCACATGTTTGCACTCCGGGAGGAGGCTCAACTGCCTGCCTTCCGAAAGGCTGCCGTAGATTTGGATTCTCAGGAGCTCAGATTATTTTGGCAAATCGGAACTGCCTTGGCTGCCGATGGACGCGGGCGAAGTTGGGAACATAACTGCCATTCATCTTGGATTTGCCATCCCTGACTTGTTGGAAGCACATCCGTCAAGTAAGAAGGCTAGGCTAGCCCAGGCTAGGGTAGACGATCAGGAACTCTTCCAATCTTGCATTAACACGTATTCCTGTGGAAAGCTGGTGAAAACCGCCAACCGCACTTACCTTTGTTCATGGCCATGTTCGATGAACCGATGAACTCCTCGCTTCCAGACCCGCCAAGGATCCTCTCGAGCCATTGGGAGGCCTAGGCACCGCAGACCGCGGACCGCTCCCTGCGGAGAAAAGGGCACTGCCGAGAGATGGACACGTGATAAGCATTGCGCACAGTTGCGATAAGCATTGCCCCAGTTGCAAAAGACTTGCCCTTCCAACGTCAAAGTTTTACTTTAACATGGGGAAATGTCGATGTATTACTTTGAAGCAAAGCATACGTTGATGTTTTACTTTTTAACATGTGGCAGGAAGAACGGATCTTTTGGGCTCTCACATCACGCATTGAAGCAAAGCTTCCACATTGAAAGGCAGGTGAATCACAGTGGAAGCCTTCAGAGCGGCAGAAATGTCTTAGCAAGATAGGACTGTCTTGGACTAAAATTCTGGTTTCCTGAGTGGATCCTTTTTGGGGGGGAAGAACTTCACGCGATTTCACGCGGATCTCACGGTAAAACATGGAATCTAATAGGTAGAACATACACATTCACGCCAATTTCACGGGTACTTCACGCAACCTCACGCGAGGGAGTTCCACCCGGATTAGAAGGTCCTAAAACTTCACCCCAAGTTCATGAGTATAGACCTCAGGATACCTCAGGGATTCATATGGATGAATATGATTCTATGCTCATGTTTGGAAACTAGTGTGAAACCATTCTCTCCATGGATCCAATCATAATGTTTAAGTTACGTCGATGTTTCACCTGGTAAAACATCTACCTTGTCCACGTCGACGTTAAACTTCTACATTGAAGGCCAGGGTATATACCTGGATCTTCCAACTATGCCAAATTTCTGCCTTTTGGCTGATTTTTTGGATGAAAAGGCAGAAATTGGTAACAGTCGGAAGATCCAGGTATACACACCGTACACCCTTTGTGTATGAAGTGCGGTGTAAGAGTCTTCTAGAATTTCCTTCAAATCTTTCTGAATTATCTTGCTTTGCAGGAGCGGGGGGTTGGCTTCCAGAAGTTTGGTTTTGAAAGCCATTTCCCATGTGTTTTCCCTACTCAGGTGGAGTTCTTTCTCAAGCCGCCCCGGTTCTCAGCCACGGCCCGTCAGCTGTGCCTCCCAAGGTGAAGCCACGCGTGCGCGAGGAGATAGAGGCGTCGACGGCGGAGGCAGATCGAGACAGTGGATGTTGCAGGCCTTGTTGGTACTAGCGTGTGCTCCCTAGGGCTCCTGCCTAAGGTGGGTGGATTTTGGATGATTTTGGGGGGTCTGTGCCCAGCAAACCTGAGGAGATGGGCCAGGAGCCCAAAGTGGAATAAAGACATGCATGATCATGCATGGATCTTCAGATGCTGGTGATCGTGGGAGTCTTGTTTTGGACGCCTGGGCTCTCCACAGGGCTGGAGAGATCTCCCACGCCCCTGGAAGCACGGGCGAAAACACGACCAACAAAAAAGAGAAAACCACTCTATTCTTCACCCCAATCACAGATTGACACGTTCACAGCTTCAAGAGAACTCCTTTGAAGATTGGACAACGCCTCACCGCCACAGGTCGACCCCCCCCGGGACACCCCACCACATCCGGAGACCCAGGCGGAGCTGCTCGAGGAAGACGGAGCCGGACTGCAGGACTGGCCCCGGCCGAGCTTGGACCGTCGGTCCGTCGGACCGGTGCTCGGGTGGTTTTCCTCCGGTTCCTCCAGGAGAAGCGACCAGAGACCGGTGGGGTGGCTCGTGTTGGGGGCGGGGTATGGAGGGCGCGTGGCGGAACCCGCGGGCGGAGTCGAAGCAATGGTCGGATTCAATTGTGCGGCGTGTTGGGTCCTTTAGGGTCTGCGTCCCTGGCGTCCCAAGATGAGGTGAAGTACCCACAGGGCTTTGAGGGCATCCCAGGTCCGCGGGAAATCCCCATCCGCTGATTGGCCTGGTTTTGCTTGAGGTGATGGTTGAGTTCCCTGTGGCTCAATCTCCTTCTGGTGAAGAGCTGTGTTATTTCCAGGTTCCTCATGCAAATCAAAGTTTATTCAATGCACTGAGTTCCCAAAGCGGCTCCCGCAGCTGATTTTGCGCCAAGCAAGCCTTGCTCCCCGCCTCGCGTGCTCCCTCGCCGCGTGCCCCCGCTGGTGGTGTATCCAAAGATGTGCCTTGGGCGCACTGGCCTCGCAGCTAAAGGACAAGAAGGCGACCCCAACTGGCGGCCAAATAGACTCCTGATGCCTCAAGGCCCCCGCCTTTAGAGTTGGTTTTGACCCTCACTGGTGGACACCATTGCCGTCGGCGGGATGGCGTTCTTTGGG